AGCAAATAGTTTCCCTGCACCGTTCAGTCACATGACATGCTGTAAATAACACGTGTGTGTGTGTGTGTGTGTGTGTGTGTGTGTGTCAGAGATAATACCAACACAGGACTGTTGTGTGATTTTTCTTGTTGTTGTTCAGAGCAGTGCCGTCTGTGTCATGCTCCAGGCGTTAGTCTGTGTCATCTGAGGCCCGACAGATCTGTCATATGAAAGAATTCATTCTTCAGACTTCTAGAACAGAAACAGACTCTGCAGCCAGCGTCAGACGGACTCACCAGTTTCCTGCAGCGGCTGTATGAAGAGCTGCCGTGGGAAACACACTGAGCTATGGATTAATCCTCAGGGAGGAATTTTTTCTCACTTTGACATATCAACATAACCTCAGGCGTGTTTTCATCCTCCTCGCTCACTTTGATCACCTTGTGAGGATGCTGTAAATCAGCTCGCCGTCTCATCGCTGTGTTTTCCTTCCTGTGAGATTAGCGGAGTAACGTTTGTGACCTGTGTCAAATTAGCTGAGCTGAGTGCCTCCTATGACCTGAGGTTAATAACCTGACCCCACAGATCTGACTTCCTTCACTACATTTGTCAGCATTGTCCTCAGCATGATGTAAATAACATGACGCAGTGGCGTACAGTACAAAGCACCCCAGACGTCCCTCTCCCCAGCAACACTTTCCAGCTCCTCCTGGAGGACCCCGAGGTGTTCCCAGGCAAGATGAGATATATAATCCCTCCAGTGTGTTCTGGGTCTGCCCCGGGGCCTCCTACCAGTGGGACGTGTCCTTAACACCTCTAACAGGAGGCGCCCAGGAGGATCCTGATCAGATGTTGAACCACCTCAACATTAAGGTGCAGCGGCTCTACTCCGAGCTCCCTCCAGATGTCTGACAACTGTCAACTATAAAGTCTGAGTGTTTGCGCTCATGTAGGAGAGATGGTGGGGCCCTCTGCATGTCTGTGCCCAGGGGCCCAGTGTCTCATTATCCGCCCATGGCCTAATGGAAGTAAATCATTTCTCTGATGCACCACTCAGACAACATGTGGTACGGTGGAGTGAACAGCGGTCTGTGAAGCAGAGTTGGCTGGTTAGAGTCCTGGGATATGGAGGAGTATTGATCTGCAGAGGTGGTAACCGAGGTGGGAGCAGAAACACAGGAGAGGATGGTGAAACTGGAAGAATCCATCTTAAAACCAGGGCTGGGATCACCTGTTTAACTTCAGAGGGGATTAATATTAATCTCCTTTCTCTGTATTCCCTTTGGTGGATACCCAGTGGTTATTTGACTTTCTCCTCTGACCTCTGGCATCAACAAGGCATATATATATATATACATATATATATGTATGTATATATGAGTGGCCTCTGAATGAGAGCCTTACAGTGGTCCTAGAGGGAAAAATCAGGGATTCACCAGTCTGTGGGATTCATCCTCTTGGAACCATGAATATCTGGATCAGGTTTTGCTCCAGTCCATCTGGTACATGTTCAGATACTTAACTGTTACCTGCTGGTGGCACTACATGAGTTGTCAATGCATCACGAGAGTCATTAGAATTGATCCCCTGAGTACATACACATGTTTACATCTCCATCAATATTTGACTGTTGTACATTCCCACTTATCTTTTTTGGGTGCAGCCTACTTAACCAAAATAATCATCTTTATTTGCACTAACTGGAGAACTGATGAAGAGGGATGTTTGTACGGTAAACATGTTTGTCTACATCCTTCCTGTAAATATCCTGAGGCCTTGTTGGTGCCAACACCATCCGGTTTTCCTTATCTCTAGTTGTGGTGTTTAAAGCAGTTTTTAGTCGGGGGCAAAAAAACGCACTTTACAATGATATATGTCAAATCTTCATCAACAGCACAGAAAACACAAACAAAGAAGTTAATAAGACAAACAGCATCAGTGTTTTTCCTTTTTATTATTTATTCAACCTAAACCTCCTGGCTTCTTTTTTTAGTTTAGTTTAGTTTATGTATTTGCACATACATGTGTAGAGGAGACGGGAGAAAATACAAAGTTAAAACATTGTGCAGGAGAGATGAGGCGCCAAAATGACTCATGAAGATACCTCCCCTATTAAATATCAACAATCATACATTAAAAGAAAAAGATAAAAGATTGCAGAATTGAACAAAAGTTCCAGACGAAGACATAAAATAAAATTGTTGGAGATGTACAATTTACAAAAAAGAAAAAATATTAATTATAGCTGCTGCACAGTGATGGGTCGGGTCGGGTCCGGGCATTTTTAGGCAATTCTGAGCAACAAGCAGAAGAATTGGAAGACATTTAGGAATTTAGCAACACAATCTGCCTTTTGCATCAGCTGAGGCTTGAACTCACAACCTCTGAGACTAAGAATCAATTTCTATCTCACTGAGCTAATTAGTCAGTGACAATTCATGTGTAGCTTCACAAACTGACTAAGCCAGACGTGCAGGTTTAGCAGCCGTCCATGCATGGAAAAGCAGATTTCAAACCACTGTAAAAAATTCAGTTATCGAAACAAAAATCTGAAAATACACATATTGCATCTAGACAGCATGGAGATGTTGGTAATTTGTTTGTAACAATGATTGATTTGCTCCATAAGTGAAAAACTGATGTTTAAAATTGCCATTTTTACATTGACTCCAATTGTTCACATTAGAGCAAAATTCAAAATGCTGTCAAAAATTCAGTTTTTGAGATAAAATTCTGAAATTTGCCACACATCATCTACCATGACTCTAGAATTTTGTCATTTTTTTCATGAACATTGAAGATTTATTTAGCAAGAATTTGCATGTATATGTTTACAGTACCGTTTACAGTCAAACATTTTGATGCACTGTAGGCTCAATTTTTGATAAATCAAAAATCTGAGAAACATAGTTTTTGTAGGACAGTCTGAAGATGCTCTGTAGCAAGTTTGGTGTCAATTGAGCAAAAATTGTGGGAGGAGATAGGTTTAAGAAGTTTTACAGTTTTTGAAAAAAACAGAGTGATGAACTTCATAATTTTTAATAGGTTTAAATGTACAAAAGTTTCTTCAGTATTGGGGCTACAGTTTGAACTGTAGTTTTGAACTTTAGACGCTTGCTGTAGCGCCACCATCAGGACTGTTGGCTTGAGTTTACAGCTGAGGATATCTGGCATGAGACTGGACCTTTGTGCAAAGTTTGGTGAGTTTTCACCCATGGGAAGTATGATTTCCTCGGAAGAAGAAGAAGAAGAATACCTAGAGAAGGTCCTCTGTATTTCAGTTAATGCTGATTAACCCAATGAAACCTGAGCAAATTGGCTTGATGTCTTTTATAAACACGGGAAGAAGGCAATAAGACACGGAAAAAGAAGAAATGACCCAAAAAATCAACCAGAATTATTATTATTATTATTATTATTATTATTATTATTATTATTATTACTGTTTGCCCCTAGTTTTTTTTTTAAATTTTCCTAATTTTCTTAAACTATTTTTTTTTTCGCAATTTATCAGACATTTCTTACCAAGTTGCTTGCTGCCTTTTTTTCCCACTAAATTTTTAAAATAATTTTCTAAATCTAATTTACTGTATTTAATCTTATTTAATTTTATTTATTTTTGCAATTTGTGGGACATTTCTTACCAAGTCGCTCACTGCCTTTTCCCCTGTTTTTTAAAAACAATAATTTTCTTAATGTATTTATTGTATTTCAGTTAATTTTATTACAAGTTGTGGGATATTTCCTAAATAATTTTCTTTATCTATTTATTTTATTCTATTCTATTTTATATTTTTGCAGTTTAAGGGACATGTCCTACCAAGTGGCTCGCTGCCTTTTCTGCCATGTGTTTAAAGAAATCGCACCATTAATATTCTCAGCGTTCAAATGTTTAAATACCTGCGAACATTTATGGGAAAATAAACTAAATATTCTGACGCCAGTGAGCACTGTTTGCGCGCGCATGCACGCCTGACCACACTCCCTTTTTTTTATCGGGCACGAGCGTTTGACGCACGCCCCTCTCTCCTCCCTAGGGCGGAAGTGGGTCCATTTTTCCCTCAGTCGGATCAGCGCAGCTCGAGGAGCTGCAGCCGGAGCAGCACACACGCACGAGAGCGCACACCTTCTGTTTACGTTAAGGTGAATCCACCCGTGGGTCAACAACGGCGACAACACGCGAGGACAGGACGTGACTCGGCTCCACGCGGTGTTCGGACCGAATTTCTCCCGGTGATAGTGGCCGTGTCTCCGCGCTGCCTGCCGCTGGGACACGGAGCGCATTCCTCCACGCAGAGAGCGGAGCAGCCGCGGGGAGCTGGAGGCGGCCTCTCACCCACTCAGGATCCTCACACACGTCCCGGCGGATGTGTGGGCTCCAGCGGAGACTCTCAGCCACACTATGAGAGTGTTGCTTGGATGAATAATTCACGGTCTCGCGGTCCCAGGCGCGCGCTGCGACTCCAACCAAGCGACCGCTGGCTGCGCCCGACGCCGCCTGAATGGGCCCCGATGGTGGACTAGAGAGCAAAGACACGACGACGACTCGGGCCTAAAGTGGAGAGCAGAGAATAAAGCTCAGCTTAAATTCACTGAGACTGATCCGGGGCCAGTTGAGCAGCGCGGAGCTCTGTAGTCATGTTGCCGAGGCGGTGGGGGAGGAGAGACCGAGCCTCTAGTACTTCGACGCCGATCCAGTGTCGCTCCAGTCTCGGCTTTATTTTATGAGTCACTCTCACATCCCGCTGGTGCTCTGTGGCAGAGTGACGCGGACGCTTCACCCCGAGACGCCTTACACGAGCATTTGTGTTTTTGTTACCTCACAAACGGACCTGGCTCCCTCCGAGTGTCTGCACCAGGTCCCAGTTATATAAGACACCGAGTCGATGAGCACCGTGCTCACTGTTGAGCTGACTTTATTACCTCATGAATCTACCTCAAACACAACTTTATTCTCTACACGTCACAGCGGGCCGATGTGTCCCAGAGTATATACCTCAGTAGTTGGAAAGTGAGCCTGTGTTCCAGTAGCGCTGCAGATGGCTTCGTTTCCAGACTCGGACCTGCAGACCTGCCCGCTCTGCAAGGAGCTGTGCGGCTCCTCTGCTCCTATTTCCTCCAGCTCTTCTACCTCTTCATCTTCCTCACATACCTCGTCCTCCTCCAGCCAGACCACCAGGAGGCTCCACGTCCTGCCGTGCCTGCACGCCTTCTGCAGGCAGTGCCTGGAGGGCCAGCGCAGTCCCGGGGACCCGCTGAAGCTGCGGTGCCCCACCTGCGACCAGAAGGTGTGCATCTCCGAGGCCGGAGTGGACTCCCTGCCTTCCTCCAACTTCCTCTTCAGCAACCTGCTGGACGTGGTGGTGAGCTCCGAGGAGCAGATCCAGAACAAGAACGGCCACCACCACCACCGGGGAGGCCTGGGCGGAGGCTCCTCCGGCTTCCATCACCCCCACACAGGCCTGCTGCACCCCAACTTGGGGGAGCCTCAGTGCAGCTCCTGCGATGAGGAGAACCCCGCCACCTCCCACTGCCTTGACTGCCAGGAGTACCTGTGTGACAACTGTGTGCGGGCGCACCAGAGGGTGCGGCTGACCAAGGACCACTTCATCGAGCGCCTGGGGGAGAACCTCCACCTGGGCCGCATCAACGTCAACAGCAACCCGGGCCAGCCGGGGGTGTCGGTGTCCCTCGCCCAGTCCCTGCAGAACAACTTCGCCCTGCTGTCTCTGTTCCAGGACCACATGAGCTTCTGCCAGCACCACGACAATGAGGTGAGGAGCATGATGACACCACTGCACCTGTGTGTGTGTGTGTGTGTGTGTGTGTGTGTGTGTGTGCGCGTGTTCAGACATATGAATCACTCAACATCTCCATCTTATTATCTATTTTTGACAGATTCTGGTGTGTGTTGACACCGTGTAATAACATATTCATCGCACACACACACACCCCTACAGTGTAATAGCATTATGTGTGTAGAATAGGAGCAAACTGGGGGCCATATGGCCTCAGGTTCAAAGGGAGCTGAGTGGCTCTTCACCTACTTCCCTGGAGACCAACAGGCACGTGTGCTGAGCTGGATTTGCACACTCACACACACACACACACACACATGGACTCTGCGTGCACACACACACTTATAAGCATAGACACATGCAGAGTCTGGTTAATCTGTACCACACCATCCATTCAGTGCAGAGAGGCCCCTGTAGCAACGGCACACATGTTTCTGTGACTGTTAGAAGTCCTATCCGTGGACATATTATGGAGATCTAGGTTTTCTCTGATAATGGGAAAGACAAGTTGGAACTCGGGGCCCACAGGGCTTTTTTTCGGACCATGTGATCTGGGTAAACTACAAAGGCCTGCAAAACAGGAAACCAGCTTTTCTTGGTTTAGTCATATGGTCAGGAAGAATAACAAATAGCGTTGGTAGGGGGTCCTGGAATGTCATCTCTGCACCACTTCTGGTTTTTGTTGAGGAGCTGCTGCTGCAGAGTAAACGTCTTTCCCACATGAGCATGAATAAGAAATCATTTCTGTTCTAGGTAGATTATTGAAAAGGTCTGTAGGAGTGGGCAGAAATCACCGTATATCCACATGCACTCAAACAGTGATGTACTTTTGCAAAAGTTAACTTTCTCCTGTAAGTATTAAAGAGACTGAGGTAACACATCAATCTCTCTCTGTACAGTAACATGTGCACGCCTTACTGCCCGTCAGACAGTGAAACACTTGAGACGCAGCAGGACGTCTTCATTGTTAACTGAACCTTGAAAAACATGGTGGCACCGCCCGCTGCGACTCAGAGACTCATAATGTGTCCAGTGGTGCAACATGGGAAAGTGAAGGGAAGTTTGATGTTGTGAAAATGTCCTCTGGAGACAATTTCTGGTCCACCGTGTGATTGTCCTGAGAAAGTGACGCACATGGTTGTTTTCTGCTCCATAAAAGAATTTCAAACCAATTTGTTGAGGAAAAATAGCTCTCAACAGCTTCCATAATTTTCATGATATAACTCAGTGGTTTTTAAACTTTAGTGCCCAAGACACATCAAAGGGCGAGCCAAAATCTCAAGGCACACCTGTATTCATATCTGAGCACGACAGCTTCTATAATGTGTGTTATCATTCGTATCATGCTGAGACAGTAGAAAGAAAAATAAGACCGGTAGCTTCATGATTCTGTCTACTGACAGTCTTCTCTCTTATCTTATGGTGGTAGGTCGTCTTCACTGGGGCTTTGTTGTAATTTGCTTTGAACAAAGTGTTCCATCGTCCCAGTCACAACTTTCTCCTTTCAAATGTTATCATCAGTCACACTGGCTGCCAATCAGGACCTTCGATGTGTCACACACTGATAATTCCCATTAGGGTTACATTTTTAGCTAGAGTTTGCCTCTTTACTAGGAAACTAGTCCATAGCCATTGGTAGCTTTGTCACCTTCTACCTATGCCAGTCCTCAATGACTATGTGCAGTTTCACATAGATTGACCACGTCAGTGAGTAGAAAAACGTGGGACAGACAGAATGACTGACTGACAGAATGACACACTGACAGTTTCCGTGATTATGTACAGCATACCATACCATGACTTAGTCATACCAAACATTAGAAAACAACACCATTGGTCCACAGGGGGAGCCACAGCGATCGGTCGCATTTTAGCCATTTTGAAGCATTTTTCTGTTGTTATAGCGCCACCCAGTTGCCAATTAGAGTTAAATTTCTCCAGTCACCTTGAGGCGTCCTGTTCTACATATCTACCAAGTTTAGTAAAAATCCATATGGCGGTTAGGCCTAGATAAGAAATGAGCTCTCTAGCGCCCCCATTTTGTTTGATGGGGTCAATAATGGAGGGGTCCCCTCAGATTATGTGTGGTCATATGCCTACAAAGTTGCGTGGTGATGGGTGAAACCCTTGAGATGTTATACACCTTTATGTGATGAGCCACGCCCTCCGCAATATTCATTGCCTTATAGAAGCTCAGTTTTAGTACGTTTTCCAACTTTTGCCAAGAGGGAACTTTAGATATTGGTCCCTAGATTATGTTCACCCAGTTTCATGCAGATCGCTCAAACTTCCTAGGAAGAGATCCATTTGAAGTGTTTTTCAAAAAATTCAAAATGGCGGAAAATCTATATAAGCGGAAGTTATGGGTTCTTGAGGCAAATGTGTTCCTCATGAGGAGAGGCATCTCTGTGCAAAGTTTCATGTCTCTACCACATACGGGGCATGAGATATGCCCATTCAAAGTTTGACATTTCAATGGGTTGCTATAGCGCCCCCCTTTGGCCAATTGATGTAGTATTGCTTCATTGGCATCCTCCCATGACCCTCTACCACTGTGCCAAATTTCACATGGATTGACCAAGTCAGTGAGGAGAAAAACGTGGAACAGACACACACACACACACACAGTTTTCTTCATTATATAGTAAGATGGATGTGCACAACACACTGATGCAGTCAGTTAAATTCATTCATAACTTGTTGTACAGGCCCAGTTGAATATTGCAGTAATAATGTGTGGTATCTCATTATCATGGTACACCATTTGAGATCCACTGATATGACTTGAATAAGTTGCAGAGACTTGTATAAGAAAAACAGAGTTATATAGTGTTTGTTAAAATGTGCTGAGTGTAAACTGCATCAGTAACGGTAAATAAGTAATTCTGTGTGCGGGTTTCAAAACATTAAAGGGACACTTTGCAGATTTCTTAATAAACTTAATACCTTCCTGCTCAAATTGCACTGTTCTGCAGATTTTAACTGGTTCTTGGCCCGTTGCTCCAACTACAGACACACACACAGAGTCTATAGGGGCGGATCAAGAGAATATTATAATAATGCAAATGTTAATATATGAACTGACGAGCTGTTTGTTTACAGCTTACAGTGAATAAATCCAGTTTAACGGTGCTGCGCTAACAGTTAAATTTAATGGGATTAGTAATGTGTGTCTGTACCTGCAGAGCTCCAGACTGTTTACTCACATTTCGAGGCAACAGAGCAGCAGTGACTTGCAAATAGTTTTAATATATGAACCGGAGAGCTTTTAGTTTGTTTCCTGCTTTTCCAGCTCACAATGAATTAATCATCATGTTTACAGTTGCAGCAGCAGTTTAACTTTGGGCTAACTGCTGATGTCTGACTGTTGAGAAGAAGATTTAACTTCACAGCAGAAACATCAACACTTCGGCCGAGATGAGCTTCAAAATAAAAGCACCAGTGGCTCCACTTTGATTTATTTAATTTTAACAATACTTTATTTAACTTTATGCTAACTGTAGTTAAATACTTAGAGATTTCAAAATATTGTGATATATATTGCGTATCGCGATATAGCCTAAAAGTATTGCGCTGTTATTTTTGAGCCATGTTGCCTAGCGCCACTGTGGCTGGCAACCATTTTGTTTGCTGTGTCAAAACAGACAAGCTCGCAGTATGTCACCCACCACTGGTCCGGTGTGGTGCAACGCATTCTGATAGTTGTAGGTAATTTGAGTAAAAGCTAACGCTGTTTTCTCTGATCATGTCGCACCAACTTCAAAAGTATTTGCATCTTCCTACTGCACAAAGAAACTAGTTTGATTTCCTGCTGTGAAATACTTCTTTAAGAGCCTGGTCACATTTCCAATTAACTTTTTGTCTTGACCTCCCCCCCCCACCCCCACCCTCCATCCACTGCCAGTAAATAGGTGAGCACAGTTTTCCAGTAAGGGCTTCATTTCCCAGTAATGCCTCACAGTGCTTCAGCCCTGGGGGAGGGAATGACACAGGAGAAGGCTGGTCTCTCTCCACCTATGAGCGCTGAGCGAGCACAGTCAATGTCCATCTCCCAGCTCCACATCCATCATGTGTCAGTCTCTCTGATGCAAAGACCAGTGTCGGCCTGTTTGCACTTTTTAGGATTTTCATATGTGGTGACGATGTGTCAAGTGAACATTCTGTCAATTGTTTATTTTTTGTTCTGTTAAACTCTAGTTTGTGTAGATGTACTTAATGCACAAGTTTCCATTTCCTAGTGTGTGCTCACATGTCCGACCATTTCTGTAACTTTCTGAAACCATCGATCCGTCACTCACACCCACTTCAGCTGTGCGGAGGCGAGAAAGAACTTCTCTCTCCAGCTTTCTTTGTTTCATCGGTTACACAACTATTTCTCTCACATTTCACATGAAGAAGAGGGTGCAACACTGAGTTTCTTCCAAGAGAGAAAATATGAACCATTTTATTTAAAGCATAAATTGTGTCTCTGCGTCTCTTCATGACGGCTGGTTTTTCACTCCACCCTGGAGCGAGGCTGTTCAGAACAACTTTGATTTCCGACGCGGTCAGACGACATGTCCTGTGACCCAGTTCTGATTGAGTGGACCCCAACTCCTTCGAGCCTGCTGCTTCATTCAGAAAGTGGAGCGTGACTGCTCCATGAGTGTTGAAAGTGTGAGTTTAAAGTTCATATCATAACTGTGGTGTGAGCTGTGAGAGAAGTTTCTGCAAAGCTCCAACAGCATGTCTCTGTCATCTAGTTTCATGGGCATTTCTTCAGTGTTGTTTTCCCTCTCTGAAAAACAGAGTACTGACTTGTTATTTCCTCTCACGCAACACCAGAACATGCATGCATGTCTGCAGTCAGCTGGCCATCAGCTGTGGCCTTTGCTGTGTATTCAAGTGCAGCTCTTAACGGAAGACACAAGGGTCACTTTGTCTGGGCTTCATCTTTGATGCAGCTGTGGCGTGGTGTTGTCACGATACTGGAATTT